GCTGTGAGCGCCGCTCCCGCGTGCCTGCCCGGAAGGGCCCCCGCCTCTCCGCCTGGAGGGGCGCGGCAGGGGAGCCAGGGAGCGTGGCTGCTTTCCTTCCGCGCGGCCGTGGGGGCCTCACGCTGCAGATGCGCTGCGGAAATGATTCCCCGGCATACTCTTCGCCCATTTTGCAGATGAGGACACTGAGGGGTGACGTCTCTTTCCCAGGCCACCCAGCTGGTGCAGCTTCTCACCCCTTCCAGAGGCCTCCTCCTCTTCGGGGAGTATACCTGCCCGGCCCTGCCCGGAGACTCCCTTCTGTCCAGCCGGCCGCCCAGGTTGGCATTCCTCTCGTGGGTGTCAGGAGAAGGGCTAGAGTCTTCGAGGGGCCTCAGCGTAGGGAAGGGGGAGCCCCCACCGCCCCCACAGATAGCTCCCTGCTTCGTAATGGAGCGCGACCTCCCTGCCCCTGTGAGGCCTGGGGGCGTGGTGGTGGCGGGAAGAGAGGAAGCCGCTCACCTCTGTTGCCTCCTGGCACTGGTGTCCTGCAACATTGGGAGTCATGGACACGACCTTGAGAATTGGGGGGCTAATGGGGCCCAGGAGCAGCCAGGGAGAAGAATCCGGGCCAGAAGAGCCCGGCGAGACCTTGTTGGGGCGCCTGGTCTGGCTACCTTCCCCTCAAACCTGGCTCCCTGAGGATGAAGGAGGCACAAATACTTTGCAGTGAGCCAGGCCGGTTAAGGGTGTAGGCAACACATAAATCCACTTGTGAGACTCTGGGCAAGTCCGTGCCCCTCTCTGGGCCTCAGTTTCCCCATCTGTAAAATGAGGGAGTTGGACCAATGCCTCCCCTCTTCAGCTCTGACTTTATTCTTAGGAAGGGGAAGGTTTCCCCTCCTCCTCCTCAAGGCTCATTTAAACCACAGTCCAACAAGAGGAAGGCAAGACTGGCCCCGCTGCCTTCGAGGCTAGCTGGCTTCTCTGCCCGCCAAAGCACTTCCAAGCATCCCCTATTCCACGGGGTTCCGCTGCGCCTGCCCACACTGCCTTTCCCCAGACTCTGGCCGGTCGCGCCCTCTGGTGTCGCCTCTCCTACTTTGCAGTCGTTTACCGGAATTCTCGTAGGGCGTTTTGTAAAATAAAGATACTATAATAATATTAATGAAAAATATAAAATGTATAGAGTTTTCAAGAAACTGTGTTCTACTTCAAGAAAATGGTCACTTTAACTTTGTAAATATTTATCTCAAATGATATTTACAAAACTGTGATATATATTATTTGATTGTATATGTACAACTGTAAATACATTTGTACCTCTCTTGTATTCTAAAATAAAAATTACTTGGAACATTTATCCCTTAGCATCTTAATGGGTGAACACTTTTGTCTGCATGAAAAGGAAATATAGACAGGGCCTAGAAGCTGGAAAAGGGGCTGCAAGAGTTGTTCCATTTATTGGTTTTGAAAGTCACCATTGTGTTGTCCCTTAGGAAAATTCCATCTGTCACAACCGAGCTGTCAGCTCCCAGAGATTGGCCACAGTGCAAAGCAATAGGAAATCTCGGAAGGAGCCACCAAGATTCCTTTTTCCAGCTGACTCTCAAATATCAGTGCCTTACTTTACTTCCCCAAAATCTTTACTTACTTTTTTTTTTTCCGTTTTTGTGGCCAAAATGAAAGAGATTGACGGGTTCAAGCAGCCAGTGGGGACAGGCCAACATGGCTACCAGGGCCCTCCCAGTGCCCTAGAATCTTGGAATACTCAGGCACCTGTCTCCAGACTCTCCTTGAAGGGGACCAAGGAGCAGGGAGACTGTCAAGGTAGGGCCAACGGGCTTCACTGTCCATAAAGGGCCAGGCCCCAACTCTCCTCTCCAGGGCTCCTGGCCCAAGGAGGTGTGTGCACTGGGGAGGGTGAATTCACACCTGTGCTTGCACAGATGCCAGTCATGAGGTGTCACCCTTATAACCCACTGGGTGGACATGCTTTCAGGCTTCTCGTGGACACATCTCTCTGTGCATCCTCCTGTAGGTGTGTGCGTGTGCACACATACACACCCTGCAGACACTTGGGAATTCACACTTAGACACACAGGCCATCTCCATTTGGAGCTTCACACGTGTACTCCCACATGCGCCCTCCCTTGTGGGAGTCATCTAGTACCCTGATGGGGCACAGGTGGAGAAGTACACTTGATGCATTCACTTGCAGGCTCCATCTGGGGTTTCCTGCCTGGGGCTGGCGACAGAGTCATCCTTGGTATTCCTCCTGCCTCCTGTCACAAACTTCACCTCTCCTTTTTTTTTTTTTTTTTAGAGACAGCCAATTTTATTCATAGAATTATTTACGTGGTAGATTTTTTTTATTGTGGTAAAATATACATAACAAAATTTATCCTTTTAACCATTTTTGAGTGTACAGCTTAATAGTGTTAAGTACGTTCACAGTGTTGTGTAACCATCACCGCTATCTATTTCCAAATCTTTTTTATCATCCCAACCAGAAACTCTGTACTTATTAAGCAATAACTCCCCATTACCCCCTTGCCCCGATCCTGGTAACCTCTATTCCATTTTCTATCTCTATGCATGTGCCTATTGTCTCTCCTTTGATACCGCATCACTGGGTTTCTGATGCCTACGGTGGCCCCTGGTACTACCCTCCACACACTGTACCCCCCATCCAGGCGTCTCGTCCCCACAGCCGAAGCTTATGTGTCCTGGGTCCCCTACCCTCTGGATGATGATGGGTGAAGTGGAATTAAACACCATCCTGGCTCACACGTTATGCCTCCCAGAGAGTAATGGCCATATAAGGTAAAATGCTGGCTTTCTGAAGAAGAACCTGCAGGAATCAGACTTCAGAGAAGTCAGTGGGGTCGTTGATCAGAAATCTAAACCGTTCTCCATAGGTAATTCTGTGAAGTCCAAGCTAACACAAGGGCCACAACTCAGGCTCCAGAACCCGCCTGGTGGCAGTGAGCTGTAATTGCAGAACGAGGTGCCTCTGGCGTGCCAGCTGACCTGCTTCTACAGATGTGTGCCAGGGTCTGTGCTAGGCACTGGGGATACAAGGATGAACAAATAGGACTCGTGGTCCTGGGAGGCCTTATTCTGAAAGCCTAACCTCTGACCTTGCTCGCATTTCCAGCAGAGACCTTAACTCCCTGTCCCAAGTGTGCACTCCCTGGACAAAAGCGTGTGAACACAATCACAGGAATTTCTGTGGCCCAGCCTGGCTTAGAGATTTAGATGCATGCATTCTGGGAACCTTGCCAACAACCTCACGAGGCCAATGTTCTTTTTATGTCCATTTGGGGTATGAGAAAACTGAGGCGTAGAAAAGAGCAAGTCATTTGCCCACATCACTCAGCAGGAGAGTGGCAGAGCAAGGCTCCACCGAGGGTGTCTGACTCCCAGGAGCATTAGGACACACCATCTCCCTTTCAGTCCATAGATTCAGTTGGAAGGACTTTCTGCATTTCCCACAGGGATGCAGTGTAGACCAGAAATGTATACTGACCTAGTATACTGTGACCTTGTAACTGTGACCTTGTAAAACGCCCTTATTAGTTAGTTCTTGTGGCTTTTTGTAGATTTCTTAGTATTTTCTATGTACAGTAGCATGTTGTTTGTGAATAAAGACAGTTTTACTTCTTCCTTTCTAATTTGGATGCCTTTTATTTATTTTGCCTTATGTCATAGACCAGGACCTTCAGCAGTAGGACTCTATAGAGGCTGGGTTCAAATCCCAGCTCTACTACTCACTAGCTGTGTGAATTCGGACAAGTCAACTAACGTCTCTGTGTCCCTCACATGGAAAATGGGGTGATACTTAGCTCCTAAGGATGTTGTGAGGTTAGATGGGATAATGCATATAAATGAATAAGGTACATGGCTCAGTGTCCAGCACATAGTAAATATTCAATAAATGGGAGCTGTTGTTAATAAAATAATGCTTTGGTGTGTGCAAAGAGTTGTAGACACCCCCAAGAGGGCATCTGTGGCAGCTGTTAACCTCCTGTCATGGACTGAATTGTGTCCCCCAAAAATATGTGTACCAGTTTTGCTAGGCCATGATTCCCAATATTGTGCGATTGTCCACCATTTTGTCATCTGATGTGATTTTCCTAATGTGTTGTAAATCCTACCTCTATGATGTTAATGAGGTGGGATAGGCAGCAGTTATGTTAATGAAGCAGGACTCAATCTACAGGATTGGATTGTGTCTTGAGCCAATCTCTTGAGATACAAAAGAGAGAAGCGAGCAGAGGGACCTCATACCATCAAGAAAGCAGTGCCAGGAGCAGAGCGCATCCTTTGGCCTCAAGGCTGCTGTGCGAGAAGCTCCTAGTCCGGGAGAAGATTGATGACAAGGACCGTCCTCCAGAGTCGACAGTGAAAGCTTTCCCCTAGAGATAGTGCCCTGAATTCATACTTCTAGCCTACTAGACTGTGAGAGAATAAACTTCTGTATGTTAAAGCCATTCACTTGTTGTGTTTCTGTTATAACAGCACTAGATAATTAAGACACCTCCTCTACCCCAACTCTTCCCTATACTCATGAACCTTGGATCTCTCAAACTGGAGGAACATATATCCTAAATTTTCAGCTTCTTTCCTGCTTTGGAGCTGGCCTGCTAGGAGTGTGTGTCTGTGGTTGGGTGGGGAAAGTTATGGAGGATGACTAGATCACTCCCATCCATGAGCACCTGACATCTGTTTTGTAAGACAGGCCCTCCACTCCTGTGCTCCCAGCTGGAGAAGGCTGCCTCAGGGCAGGGATGTTATGCAGAGCAGGCTGCCTCAGGGCAGGGATGTTATGTGGGTGGAACTCTAAGTTTACTCACAGATATACATGCCCACATGTATGCACACGTGTATGCATGCACACACATGAATCTGAGCATTCACAGCACACACACTGCATGTGCTTTCTCTGCTCCTGCTATTTGGAAAAGAACTGGGCATTCTTTAAAATGTGTTTTCTTTTTGGTTTGTCTTATCTGAAAAGTTATGCATACTTATTTATTGAAAAGTCCAATTGTATCAAGTAATAATAAAAGAAAAATAAAAATCACCCATAATTCCACCTAAATAATGACTTTGGACAATTTGGTGGATATCCTTCTTGAATTTTTGTATGGATATATAACAAATTCGGATAATTATCTACCTGTATTTTTTCACTTAGTATTATGCCATGAACATTCTCCATGTCAATATATATTCTTCTAAAACATTGTTTTTAATGAATGCATAGTATTCCATGTTATAGACAGACTCATTTATTTAACCATTGCTTTCTGTTTGGACATTGCTTCTATTGCTGAGTAACAAACCACCCCAAACTTAATGGTATAAAGCAACCATTTTATAACACTTGTGGAATTCTGTGGGTCAGGAATTTGGCAGGGCACAGAAGGGGTGGCTTGTTTCCACGATGTTTTGGGCCTCGTCTGGGAAGACTTGATAACTGACGATGACTCAACTGGGGGCTGGAAGCATCTGGAAGCATCTTCATTCACATGTCTGGTGGTTGATGCTGGCTGTTGTCTGGGACCTCAGCTGGGACTATTGGCCAGAGCAGTTACATATTACTTCTCCATGTGGCCTGGTCTTCCTCACAGCATGGCAGCCTCAAAGTAGTTAAATTTCTGACCTGTTGGCTCAGGGATCTAAAGGCAAACATT